ACATGCTAAAGTATAGCATAAAAGGCATTAAATCCACAAAACCAGTGGCTGAAGCCGCCTCTGTCAAGTAAATTGTGCCGTCAAGTGTAAGTGCAATGCGCCCAAATCAAACATAAAAGTGTCTGGAAAGGGCGCATATGCGCTCGGATCATACTGCAGAGTGTCGTAAAATGGCGCAGTGCGCTTTTATCTGACTCGGTAGTGTCGTTTTTAGGCTAAGTGTCTGATAATTGCGCCTGAAGTTGACTCGGGAAAATTATTCAAACAGGTATTTCGAGAAAAATACAGTGTTAAAAGCAAAAAAAAGCTGTCGGAATGCGTTTTGCAAACACACCTATCAATTAAAAGTGTTTGGGTCACTTTCAGGTCATTATTTAAAAAAAACTTGTTCACCGAATTCCAGCTCAACATCTAGGTAAGGTATACGACACCCACTCCGTCTTCGCGGCAAAATCCTTCATCTGAAAATTCAAGTACATATGGTTGTGAGTGTGATGTACCAAATGTATGCATTATACATCAGAAATGACGAGCGAGAAAATCTCTTTCAAATGAGCATCATTTTTTAAAGATTGGTTACGAAATAAACGAATGAGAACAGAAAAACGGAAAGTGCTCGACCACTCAGGCTCCAACAGGACTGTTGAATACAGGCGCAATTTACCCACGATTTGTCGCGAATGAGCGCAGTTTCACCGCATCGTTCTGCATCGCGTTTTTCTCATTTGTGGCGGAATCAAACAGTGTCCTGATACTATCACATATTCCGGGGGGCTAAAATTACCTCTTTTCATTGCAGCGAGCTTCCTAGAATGCATAACTTTGAAGATTTTGCGACATGAAAGAAATGTCGTATTTCAGCGCAGTTTGAGTGTGCAATTTGCGGCAACTGTCGCTTTTAAGCGCTGTCGTTTTATTTTGCGCAAAGTCGAATTCGAGCGCAAAAAAGTCGTATGAGGGTTGAATCGTATTCCCCCCGGCGGACCCCCGACAGCAGCCCCCCTGCCATCCCGCTGCCTCCCACTCATCGGAGAACCAGCCAACGGGAGAGCTGGGAGAGGGGGAGTCTGACGGGGAGGGGAGGGTGTCGGAACATGAGAAGGATATGCGCTCAACAATGATGACCGGTTTCCTGTGTCTGCAATGTGCACACTGCACAGCCTCGTGCATGTGCCGTTGTGCATTACTTCGCCTCTGCAATATACTGCACTCGGAAATGTGCAGTGTGCAATGTAAGCGGCCCAACGGCCAACGCGGACGGTACGTGCTTTGTGAGAATAGAATAAACAAGTTGTGCACCTAATAAGCAGCTAAGCTACAGAAAAATGTAACTTGTGAAAAGGAAGGAGTTCAGTTGTTTGTTGATTCATACTCGAATTGCAATGAGCCATAATGTTATTCATTGCCAAATAATGTTATTCATTCGATCACTGACTGGTCCGCCATGGCATACAAGCTTCATTTGTGTTTTTAGTAACTTGAGAACAATCAGGGGATGCCGGAACAAGGTAGGTAGCTGGTATGCGGAGACCATGTTAGCATTGGCAGCATTGCACTACCTGCCTTCAAACATTCCATTGCTTTATCGCTAGCAAACAAACATCTGCCGCCATAGTCAACAAACACTTACCGCAGCAGCCAGCGCTCTTCGAGTACGTGCCTGTCAGTCAGAGCATCCTTTAAAGTCACAAAAACTTCAATTCAGTATGACAGAAAAGGCAGCTTCAATTTTACTTGAATATGGCAATAGACGAATGACGATCCAATCAGGATCCGATGATCGTGGTAACTAATAAAAATGTCTACCGTTTACTTTATACGTCCACACTTTCTGCAGAGAGAACGTTTGATCTAAACGTGGCGGTCTAAATCATAGTTGATAGTTTGTTTGTTTATTGGGGGTTTTAGGCACGCAGCGTCGCAGCATACATACAATAAATCAATCTCAAAAAGACTGACTATGATGTGAGTCATCCACACCAGGACTCGCGCCCAATGTGCACCACAACAATGCGTCCTTTTTCGTTTGCAGCCTGGCTAGAGATATTCGTAAACACAAGCGGTGCCCGCATCGCAGCCGGCAGCGACACAGAGGCCGTCTCTGTATGTTCGGTACATTGAGTCATTGATGCACATTGCACGGGTCTGGACAAAGACCTGGGTCTCTCTGTGCTGTAAGCAGCTAAAGGTGCGCAATATAGCATATAATATAGCGGAGCCGATGTTAGGGCGAGTTCGGGAAACAGGGAACGGATGAGTAGGAAGCTGCAATACCCAAAGTCAGCCCTACTCTGCAGAAACTGAAGCAGGGCTGTGACGTCACAACTTTCAGAGCCAGCCAGCAGAGACCAAGTCAGCATCCGCCTGATAGTCCAATGAGCTAGAGAAACACCTGTTTTACCCTGACCTTCCTTGGACAGCACTTGAAGACTGCAGTAGTATTTCGCGAGCCGCGACTGGGTGCGAGTCACGCCCCACTTTGGCCTCGCAAGGTGATCAAAGACCAGTCGACGCCACCAATTTAATGAAAGAAGATTCGCTAGCGCGTCACGCTGGCGAGAATAGCACACCGGTGCAGTGGCGGTCCCAGAGTCTGACGTCATCGAATCCGCTGTAAAACAGTACCTGCCTACGTGTCGTATATTCCCAGTCGATAACAGCATCCGCCCGTCCGCGAACCGCAGCTACTGGACAAAAGGCATGATCAATGATGCGTGTCAGAATTAATTGTTTCGCCGAATTACAGCGCTATCTGTGACCAGAGAGAAAAGCTGTCCAGCCTCAAAGGCCGAATACAAAACAGCATTTTTCAGAAGCGGGATCAGGTTCTCGACGGAAACTAAATATGAGACAATGTTATCGATTTCTCAAGTTATTACTTCTAAAAAATATGGTGCTGTAAAAATGCGAAACAATAACTAATCCGCTCCATAAGCTCAACACTGACTATCAACGGGTTAGAATAAATAGAGCCATTAGACGAACAAGAGATATCATGTATATCAGAGGCAACAAAGTAACGTCATAAGTCTTAGGTAGGTATATGCAATATGCATATTATTTCATAGCTCAGCATCAAAGTATTCAAATCTGCTATACCCTCGCGTGAGCCAAACAGTTGATGCTCAAAGCTGTACTAGACAAGAGCGCTGAGAACATCACGGCACATCGAACGATAAACGCGATAAACCGTTCCATCGCCAGCGCCGAACGATGAACGTAAAAGGAATAATTATTCTGCAGCATCGAGAGCGACCGGACGGGGGTTCGTGAGCGCCGTTCCTCAGACAAAGGGGCGTCGTGCCGGCTGTATGTGCGGGAGCGGGTTACTTGGGCCGTGAGCTCGCCACACCTGCGCCATAAATAGAGGCAGTGACGCGGAGCGGAGGAGAGAGAGAGAGAGAGAGAGAGAGAGAGAGAGAGAGAGAGAGAGAGAGAGAGAGAGAGAGAGAGAGAGAGAGAGAGAGAGAGAGAGAGAGGGCTGCAGAGAGCGGCGAGAGCGCGTCCATTGGGCGCGGCACGCGGTACCCACGTGCTCGCCGTCCTGGTGACAGCGGCACGGCCACCGGGGGGTGACAGGTGACGGCGACACGGGCTGCAGACTGGTGACAGCACCATGGTATCCGAGCAGCGGAGGAAGCATGGGCGACGTGAAGGGGACTCCAACATGGCTCGAAGTTCGAACAGACATCAGAGCAATTACAGACCGGAAAACACGGCATTCCGATTTCCGAAACCACTGAAACAAATCAACTACAAGGGAAATAGAAAATAACAACACAAAGAAAACTTGTCATGTCCTGTAGTAAGAGAAATGCGAGGGACCAGAACAATTAAAAACGATCCCGATTTCCGAGTGAAGCAGCTGCCCAACGGACGCTACTGACCAGTATCCAGCTCTCAGCATCCAGCAGCTCGTGACTGGCGTGTCCGCCGGTTCACTGACGGCAGCCTGGCCCCTTCAGTGTCGGCAGGGACGTTTTTGCTGCGTCGGATAGAAGGGGAGTTTTGTCCGCGAATAACCGTGCACCCGTGCAGTCAAAACGGCGCAGCGGCCGACAGAAGCGCATTGAAGGCGAACAGATGCGCCTGGTGGGTCGGCTACCGACAGGAAAACACACATGCGGGTACCTATCATAGAAGCGACATTACTAACTGTGCTAAAAAGGCTAGCAATCGTCAAGAATTTCGGTGACATAGAAATCGCGAGAAGACGTCTATCAAATTTAAAATGCCAAAATCAAAGGGGGCACGGTACCCCGGTGCCCTCCCCGTTCCGCCGCCTATGTTGGATATGCCACAAGACTTGACAGTACGGATGGGGTGTCATCCTAACAGCAGGAGACAGTTCACACGCCGACGGTATATCTGCATAATTTTCACCGGCGTAAGGATTTCCTCAACCTGCGACATGCCTACTGTAGGTATCGATATGCCTACTGTATCGATATACCCAGCTCATGGTGCAGCTGCATCGATATACCCATGGCTGCAACGATATTGACCCCGAACTGCATTAATATGCCGAGCTGATGGCATCGGTCACAGCTGACCGGCTGTGCACTGAGCGGCTCGCAAAGCACGCCACCTACGCCAGCAGCACGTCAGAAGCACGCCATCCAGGCAGCACTGCAGCCGGATCTCTCGGCGACACAATGGCTCCGAATCAAACGACACCCAGCGACAGCCGTAGGGGTGCCTGGCCGTGCGCTCAGCGCAGAACATCGACCTTACTGACCGGCCGTTGCACAGGGCGGTGCGCTGCAGAGCTTTGTTCCTGGACTCGGAGTGACTGCAGGGAGGAGTGACATGAGCTCCCACGCAACAGAAGGAGCGACCGCAAGTGTGTTATACCACCAGGTGAGGTGAGGTCAGGTGAGGTGAGGTCAGGTGAGGTCAGGTGAGGTGAGGTGAGGGGAGGTTACATGAGGTGAAAGGTGAGGAGAGGCGAATGACGTCATATCGTGAGACTCCCGTGACGTCATCACCGTGAGACTCACCCGTGATGGCGTCATAAATCTCCTCACCGAGAGATCGTACCCGCTCCTCGGGGCTCGGCTCGATGTCTTCGTAGATCGGATGTTTTCCGACATCCAGAGTCAGTTTAGCCGGTGTCTCCGTCTCCGTCAGCGGCGGTGGAGGCGGCGGAGGCGGCGGCGGCGGCGGCGGCGGCGGCGGTGGTGGGCCCTCAGTGGCGGCAGGCGGATGAGGCGGAAACACCGCCGCGCCCGCTCTGACCTCTGTCGGGGTCACATGACTGGGCCTCTCCCCACTATGGGGGACCGCATACTCCGGCTCCGGGTCCGGCACTCGTCCGGAGCTGATCTCCGGCTCCGGATCCCGCCCGGACCCCAGCTGCAGCCCGTCCAGTGAGTCCGGACCCGCCGAATCCAGCAGCGCCAGCCGCTCCTCGAAGTAGTTGGAGTAGCGGTCCTCCGCCGGCCGGCCTCCGATTCCGGTCAGAGGACCTACTTCGTCCCCTTCCTCGTCCTCTGAGGTGGCCCCTGAGCTCAGTACGTCCAGAGCCGCCGGCGGGGCGAGCGAGCTGGTGGGGGCAGCGGCGGGAGCGGGAGCGGGAGAGTCCGCCCCCGGAGGCGCCGTGCTGACCTCGCCGTCAGCGCCGCTCCCTCTCCCCTCTTCACCAGAGTTCGGGCCGCGTGCCTTCATGTCCTGACATTGCTGACTTTCTACCGCAGCTGACGTGCCGGGGGAGGGGTCGGGGGGCGGCGGGGCAGGGGTGACCTCTGCTCCCACCCCCCGTGGGGCAGCTGGCGGGGGGTCACCTGCTCCCACCCCCGGCGGGGCAGCTGGCGGGGGAGTCTCTGCCCCCACCGCCGGAGCCGGGGTCAGCCGGGGCTCGGCGTAGGTCGGCTCTGTATCCTCTGAGAGTATTTCACCATTCCCGTCACCACAATCCGCCCGGGGCTTGTCAGGGGAGGTCGGGTCACCATTGGGCGGCTCGGGAGCCTCCCCAGCACCGTCCCTTTGCCACAGCTCTGGCGCAGAGTCACCACGGAGCACCTGCACAGCGTCGGAGGTGGGCAGCGCCTCGACGGCCACCCAGACAAACTTGCTCTCGCCGCCGGCCACGGAGCGCCGGTCGGCCCGATCGCCGGCCGCACCTGCTGCTCGCCGCAGCATGACGTCATTGTTAGCCATGACGTCATCCGCGCCCCGGCAGACGCGACGGCGACGCGCGTTGTCCCGATCACGATGACACCGACGTCACGATCGTCACCAGCCCTCCGGCGGCGTCACACAGCGTCACGAAATGCACAGATCGTCACAGAACGTCACAGAGATCGCCGCGCTCGGCACAAAGCGCGCACCTGTCTGGAGGAGCCCGAAGCACCGCGCCGCTCCCACAGCCGTTACCCGCACACTGGCCGGCGCTCGGCGGTCCGGCCATATGGCGGCTCACTCATTATGACCTCGCACGGCCGCGCGGAGTGGGAGCACTGCACTGGCTCTGTTTATAGTCGCGGCGGCACGGCCGGCGAGCGGCGCGCAGTACCGAGCAGCTCACGAGCGACTGGCGGCTGTCGCTGGGCAGCCGCGCTCTACCTGCCGGCCGCACCGCCCGCCAGTCGGTACGGGCGACCCGCCGGCCGCCGCCGCCAGAAAACCGACCTTACCGACAGCGGGCGGTGCCGGTTTTGTTTTCGCGCCCGCCCCGGCTGGTATGACCGGAAGTCACGTGACCGCGCACGGGGCGTTGCACGCGCAGTGCGTGCGCGCAGCGATGGGCGCGCCGGCTGCAGCACGCGAGAGCGTCTGCCGGCGAGGCTCCGCCAAGATTACGTCCTGCCAAATCGCGAGGTGCCGGCGGCGCGCGGCGGCCGCGGCCGGTCCACGCTCTGCTTCGATTCGCCGATCCCAGGTGAGGATTGACGATCAGTGGCGGATCGATACAGTGACAAACTATGGGCGGCACGGTGTTCTCAGACCTACAATGACGACAAAGGACCCGCCGAGAGCCGACAGTATGGGTCCGTGGTGAGTGGCACCACCTCCCGACGGCAGCCGGGCGGCGGCCGCCATGGTGAAACCATGGAAGGAGAAAGTGAAACAGACCAACCCATGTCTGGCCGTCTGTCAACATGGAAAGAAAGCCGCCGCAGCCCCGCCTACCGGTTAGACGGCGCTGGTAACCAGTAACCAGTAACCATCCGTCCACCCGCCCTGCCGACCGCATGGGTCCGCCGCCGCTGACGCCGGGCGCGGTGTTCTTCAGACACTCCCCGGCGGAAATGCCTCCCCCTCCCCCTCCGACAGGTGGTGGACGGGACTGGCCGGGAGGGGAGGGGGGGGGGTGACCCCAGCAGGTGTCCGGTGACCCGACATCTCAGGGTCGAGGGGGGGGGGGGCGGCTTCACCGCCCGTCTCCAACGCCATACATCACGCGGGCCGGGCGGGTATCCCTATCCCGTATCCAGTATCCAACGCAGTATCCGGTATCGACATGACTGCAGCGCATGTGATTCAGATCGCTGAACTCAGCAGCGGAGAGGTAGGGCTCCAGCATTCATTAGGTCTGGGTGCGACTCTGGATAGTTTCATAACAAGTCGGAAAAGTAGCTGGGTTTCTACGAATTCAGTCAGTATGACTCACACAAGAAAAAGCAGACCGGGAAGTGTTTATGACTTCAATGGATTCCCAGGAAGCCGGTAGACCGGTAGGTGCATACAATACAATAATACATGACGCGGAAGGGTGCTCACTCCTCAGTTCGCTGTGCAGATGACTATCTCTGGCTCGCTGCTGCGACCCTCAGCTCCAAGACTAGAGTAATTCGTTTACGTCTGTGCGTCGACCGACTGAAGATTGTGAAATATTGATGGTGTCTGCAGCCGCCTTACTGACCAGCTGTTAGCCCTGCACGCGGTCTGATGAAGGCCACCCAGCCGGCGTCATCCCAAAATACATGGATCAGTGAGCGAGAGGACGGTCAGTTTCATCCAGCCGCGATACATTCAGACGTAACTTGGAAGCCACGAGGGAATGTGGCCATTTACGTGTTTAGAGTGAATCGATATGTATCAATATTTCTCGATTGATACGGTTGGTGTAAATTGTAAGTGCAAATACTGGTACGGAGAGGCCTGACCGATTTGGGTGACACACACGATCCTAAACAGCTCTGTGTAGTATCAGATAAACACCGAGAGGCCATCGTGCGGTCACATCTGAGCGGGGGCCGGTTTTCTCTCGTCACCTCTCCACAGAACAGGCAGTGGTCATGTCCGACCGCAGGCTGCTGCAGTGGACGTCCAAACAGCGCCGACAGCCGCCCCAGACGGACCCAACTGTCGGCGACACTCCCATCAGCCAATCGATGACAATCACTCCACAGCGCTCGGCCCGCGACCTGCCCCAGGCGGCGAACGATCAGTCGGTGAACTGATATCGGGCGGAGAAAATCGCCCCGCACGGACCCGGTGACTGCACCGCCGCATCGGCCGCTAGCACCGAGCAAAAAAAATACATGGAGGAAATAACTGATAAACGGCATAAATGGAAACGATCGTTTAGGAAAGCAAGAATGTTATGCCGAAAGACTGAGAAGGTTAGTTATTTGAAAAGCATCATTAACCGTTTATAACAAAATATCACTGCCTCAATCAATTAAGTTAAAATATTTAGGCTTGTATAATTTTAAATAATTAGCTATTTGACGTCCAGAGAAAGCGAGAACGTGCAGGCAATCGATTGTTAATATTTTTTGATACAGCGCCCTCGAGAGTGTCATGCAATGACCTCGTAGTTATTTTGGTCGCTGCAGCCACCGCGCCGCTTGCCTCCTACCAATTCTTTCCCCCTTCCCACTGCCATGTCCCCCCTGCTGACCTGTCGAGGCCGGTCGTCGGACGGCGGTCTTTGGTAAGACCCCCCCTACTGCCCTACCCCCTGCTGACCTGCAGAGGCCGGTCGGCTCTTTGGCGAGGCTCCTCCGTACACCATGAACGGCGCCGATCCCGAGTCGGGAGAGCCAGCGACGGCCGGCGGCGGCGACTCGCCCGTCGATTTCTTATCTGAAACGGCCAGAGAGGGGCGTGAGAACGGCGCTGCAGGGGCGTGCACAGGGGAGGGAGGGAGGCGGGGCAGAGGCGAGCACAAACAGTGGAGAAAGGGAGGTGCAGGGTGGATGGTAAATGCTGGTGCAGGCGCCAGGCAGTCAGATGGGAGGTGATGGACAACGGAAAGATTCCGATAAAACAGCGCCTAAATATAAAAAAGCATAAGAATGAAAACATAAAAATAAGAACTGTATAAAATGCACCCAATAAATCGTGCATTATGAAAGGGAATGCCATCATTATCAAGTCTTCCTTATTCCTATCTATTATCTGAGAGAGCTGGATGGAATGGAAAAGGCTTATCGAAGTTGTGTGGAAGTGATTTACTCGGGAAATGCAGCACCAGGGCATGATTGAATCCGGCAACATCACCGGAAAAATATAGTGCCAGTAAAGCTTTCGGCAGTTTTTTTGTCCATTCCTTGCATACTGCATAGCGCTTATGAATATTATGATATTGTGAGCATCCGTCATTTTGACTCAAATCCACCATATCCTGATATCGCCATATTGATTTTGTCATAAACGGTCAGCATACATTTGTCAGAAATCCTTTCGTTTTTTACCGCTGGCACAATCATTGGAAGAGCTAGGCGGCAATTGAGCTGGACGTCCATCATTACTTGAGTGTGCTCCTGGTAGGTATAAGCTATAGTGTCGTCTGCTGCACCAGGGCCTCCTCTAAGGATTTTTCACTGGGTGGGCAAAATTTTTCGTCGCTCCCCTGCCCAAGGGCAGATCCAGTCACTTGTTTTGGGGTGCAACCATTTTTACCTGCGACTGGGGGGGGGGGGGCGGGTTAAGGCCTATGTCACTTTCACAGTCAACCAACTGTGCCATTTATAGTTTAACGTTTGTCGTGTGCAGATATGGTATTTCGTGTGTATTTCACCTTATAGGTATGCCTATTGTTTACATTAGTGATATCAATAACGGAAAATCAGGATACCGATACCATACCAAATGCCAACCAAAACCATGAAAAATACCGAAACCAAACCAACTTGGGAATATGAGGGAAATACCAACTTTTTACCGAATTCGTATCCTCTTATACATTAGCCGGATTCGTAATACCAACAAAATACCAACAACATTAGGATCAAAATACCAAATACCAAGTTGGTATCAGTTTGGTATCGGTATACCAAAAAGTTGGTATCCGATTGACATCTCTAGTCTACATACATTTAAAATTTTAAGAAGACTGCAAAAGTGCAGAGTTAAACTTACTATGATTGCTCCTTGAACCAGAAATCGAATAGGTAGGTGATGCTCGCTGCCTCTTTTTAGGAGGCATGGTCAGCTTACTCTTGGCGCGTCCTCTTGATCTAAATACGGCTTTTATTGACCTTAATCTACTTGTAATACATCCTTGGCCTTGTAGCACGCTACTCTGCTGGCCCATGCCGGTCTTTGAGGGTCCCACACTGACCTCTGAGGCCCCATGCTGGCCTGTAAAGGCCCATATTAGCCTCTGAGGGCCCCGCACTGGATTCTGAAGACCCGATGCCGGCCTTTAACCATCCCCTGTATTGGTGTTTTTCCAGCCGCGAACGTAGGTACTCGTTTAGGGGGGGGGGGGCGTTGGACCTCCCTTGCCGTTTCGCCCCTGATCGAGCTAGAGCTTCGCGGAAAAAAAAACAAGCGTGTTGCCCGTGACGAGAGGAAGCCGATGATACCCAATTTTAACCCTCGCCGGCACAGGCCATTGCGTCCTTCGGCGGCACGACCCCCCCCTCGCGTTTGGCCCCTGATCAAGCTAGAGCTTCAAGGAAAAAACGAGCGTGTTGCCCGTTACCAGAGGAAGCCGATGATACCCAATTTTAAGGTCCTAGGTCATCGAGTGACCTTCCAGGTCAGGTCAATGACCCGAAAACCGGGAAAATCGGGACCTGTTAGAAAGTCGTAAAGTGTGGCTGCTATGTGGTTTTCCGGGGTGCTGATCACGAATATCGTGTTAGTTTTGATCAGAGATGATGTTTTAAGCATGCTATTTAGACCAGGTCGGGTCAGGTCAGGTCAGGTCAACCGGTAGGGGTTGTGACGGGTATTCGTATTACGTGTCAACCGCCTCTGACAGCTTCGTAACATGTTACGAAGGCACCAAAACTACTTCGTAAATGTTCAAATGGTTGCTAAATTCGAATTCAGATAAAAAACTAGCCTAGAACATCTCGAAAAAGTGAACCGAGGTCACCCGAGGTCACCAAAGGTCAATGACGTGACCTGACCTTCAGGTGACCTTGACACCCACCCTTATGTATGGGAGCAACATCAAATCACATGTTTGAACGTTTGAAATCACGAAAAGCTCGCAAACGCGCGGCTAATGCGAGCCGACATACGCCGAATCGCGATTTCGGCCAAACATGGTCACGGAAAAGAGGTCACAGGTCGCGAGTTATTCGCAAAAAATCGAGGGGGGTCCGTTCGACTCCCCCCTATACGGGCGAGGG